ATTTCAATATTCAACAATACAGTTCAAACAGTAAAGAAGTGAAGTTAGGACCTCTTCCTTTTACAAAAACAAGTTCATATATGGAACATCCTTTGGGATATTAGTAGTCACCCAGTACCGGAGAAAGGGTATTTACTGTTTAGAGTTTAGACGCACACTAATGCCATATGTTTTAAGCTTTATTGCATGGTAATTCATCTGCTGAGCTTTTTTTTTTTTGTTCTTAGAAAAACCATTTGTCACAATTGCCATATCAAATAAAGGGAGCAAAAAAAGTAACCCAGTTGCCATTCAAACCTTAGAAGAAGGAAAAATAGTTGCAAAAGCAAAGTAGTTCCCTGCGTCATTAGTTAACTCCCCACAAGAATCAACCCCAAAACGTCTGGCAGATTCATCTGCTAATGAGCTGAGAGGAAATCCATCTGAAAATCTACTCTTCAAACAAGGAAGAGACACCTATCAATCCAATGAGGGCAAAAACATGACACAGTTAAACCAACAAAAAAACAAGAAACAAACTTCGGATTTTTTTAACAAAGAGAATATGAAAAAGTGGAAATTTACCGATACAATGGATCCAGGAGTGAAGGAAGAGGCAACCATGGAAGGCTCTGAAAGCCAAATTTTACAGCTTTTGGAGTCGTCCTGAACATCAGTGACTCGGCCAATGAAAGCAGAGTTCCCAATCAGAGATGGGTATTTAACCGAAGCTAGTTCAAGAGAGCTTGCAAGAATCTCTTCAGTAGCTTCAAAATCAAGTGACACAGGTGAAGAAAAGTTGTCAGAATTCGACAACCTTGATTGTGTCTTTGAATGCTTCTTTCCCTTTGAAGAAGGCATCTGTAATACAATACTCACAAGGTTGGTGTTTTGGTTTGAGGTCTCTGCTATGACTATGAGAAACAAATGGTTTCAGTTGACAGAGAAAAAAGAGTTAGCAACAGAGAAACAGAGAGGCAAGAAGAGAGACTCAGACTGAGAGCGGCGCGCTCGAGACGGTTGAATCCGAACCCGTCCAAGTATATTAAAAGCCAAGTTAGAACATTGAGTTGAACTTGGCTTGTGCAATATCAAACCCGATGAATCCGGATTGGGCTTTTTTAATTATGACGGCCGGTTTGGCAGAAATGCTACAATGAGGGTAGGGTTCGTCTTTAGGCCAGCTCCGCCCGAAATATTTGGGTTTGAGCTGGGCTCGGGCCAGGTTTTATGGGTTTTTTTAAATTTTTCAAGCCGAATTGTGTGCTTACAAATAGTCCCTACCGCCAGGTTCCATAAAAAACTTCGTTAATTGTTGATGTGGCATACATGAGAGCCCACATATCCAATAATATAGTGTCACATGTATTTAAAATACAATATATATTCTAAAAATATTTTAAATTTTAAAATTCATAAAAATCAAAAATCAAAAAATCAAAAAAAAAAAAAAATTTTAAAATATAAATTATTTTTATCAAATATATATTGTATTTTAAATACATGTGGCACTATATTATTGGATATGGGCTCCACATATATGTCACATCAATAAACTAACGAAGTTTTTGATGGAATGACTATTTGTGAGCATGCATATCAACCTTGAGGACCACGAATGACACAAAAAAGCAAGAAGGACGTAATCTGACAATGCGTTTAGATGAGGAAATTTAAAAGTACAAAGGATTTCTTAAATGACTGAATTTAAAATGACGGAAATTAATGTTCTAGAATTTGTAAAATTTCTTGTTTGGGTGATGGATTTAAAACACGAAATTTAACCTTTATTTGTAAAGTTATTTTTTTTTAAACCTCAATCTCTTTTGGGATTTTAGAAATGACGACTTTTAGATAGAATTTAAAGTTGGGATTTATGATCTCCATAATTCCATATTTTTTTTCACGCGGAATTTATAAATTTCTATGTTTTTTTTTATCCAAACACGGGAATTGGTTCATGTCAATTTAGAAATTCTGAGTTTTGTCATAATCCCAAGTTTATTTCCCTCATCCAAACGCACCGTGATAGTTTCGTGAACCTCACGGATATTTTGTGATAAAAAGCCTAAAAATAAATTAAAGTAAAAAGACAAGACATTTACTTAAATGTTTAGAATGGAAATAAGGTAATAAAGGGGAAAACTAGGCAACGAGCGGGCCTACTAGGTCCATGCTTGGTTTTGTTATTTTTTTTCTCTTTAGAGTGTAAATAATACAAAGCTACAAAAGAAGCCTCATATGATTGCTATGAAATAGTTTTGCCCATTATTAGTGGAAAGCCAGGAAGGTACTTAGGAGTCAACATTTGGCCCATGGCTCGTAGGCCAAAGTGGGTAGCACGAGACTCGATGGGCCAAAGCTAGGCCCCGCTCGATGATTAGGCATGTTCGGCCTAGTCCGCTCTAAGGTTGGGTAGAGCTTGGGCTTAGGATTTGAAACCTTTGGCCGGCCCACGACCTGGTCTGACAAGGCCCAGTCTAGGCCCGTCCGTGGCTCGGCCAAGTTTAAGCCCCTCCGTGGCTCGGGCTGGTTTAGGCCGTCCTCTTTTTTAAGATTTAATTGATGCACTCTCTAACCTCCTTTTATACTTAATCAAAATAATGTAATATGAATGATAAACTAATAAATTTCTTATTTTATTTATACATGTTATAAATTAAGTTAATTTTTTCAATGTTGTCTAAAATTTTGTAACAAACAATATACACAATATCTTTTAGTCCATCCCCC